TCTCTCTCTCTCTCTCTCTCTCTCTCTCTCTCTCTCTCTCTCTCTCTCTCTCTCTCTCTCTCTCTCTCTCTCCCTCTCTCTCTCTCTTATGTGTGATTCAATACTAATATGTGTTCTATTTATTGTAGGAATGATTCCATTACGGAAAAGAGGAGTCGATCATATATTCTGGTCAATTGGAGATCGAGCTTAAGTTTTGAAGTATCCACACGACTTCCATATAGAGAATTCTTATCCAAGTCATGAAAGAATCAATTAGAAAGGAAATTGACTTCACAATGGAAGGAAAACTTTGAGAAGACTTTTTACCTTGAGCAGAATGTATATGAGCTTGATCGAAGACTCAATTGAAGGTTGTTGCTATATCAAAGATCATTACTTTCAAATTTCATTCATGAGCTTTGTGTTTTGTTTTCTTTCGATTCAGTGTTCTACAACACTGGAGAATTGAGATTATTCTTTGTTCACAAACATGTTTAGTACTAAGCCCTTGTTTGTTTTGAAGGATGAGATTGGACAATTTTAGTGCCAATGTGAGGTATTGAAATGTTGGGATAAATTTAGTGATATGTTTGTTATGTGTGATATGGTGTGGGATAACTTTTTGATTTTGTTTGAAAAAAAAAAATCATTTTTTTTTTTCAAATGATAGATATCTCATAACACAAAATAAAAATACAATCAGAGGACTCACTAGTCCTTACAAAAACAAATGGAGGACCACACCTACAAGGTGGTCTAGACCAAACAACAACAAGGCACTAAAGGCATAGGCAAAGCTATGAGACCAAAGCACCACCAAACCAAACACAAAACAAAGACCCTAACACGCAAAGACCCCCAACAGAGTAATAAAACGACCCCCAACGGAGTAATAACAAAACCCCCAACGGAGTAATGAGAACAACAAGCACTGAGGCCAAATAGCTCAAACCAAAAACACAGACTCAAAACACAACCGAACATAGACTCAAACTGACACAAGAAACAAAGAGAAAAAAGGATCCCTTCCACAGCAACAAGCAGATCAAGCTAGCAGAGAACAATCGTTTACAAAGAATAAGCTAAGTCCAAGGAGCCACTTCCGAAACTGCCCTAAGGCCTATACAAAAGCCGAACCCAACACAAGCTAATCTCCGTAAACGACTCAACACCAACCGGAGAAACAAAGACGGAGCCAGCCCACACCCCAGGCCCAACCAAGCCCAACTAACACCACTAGTCGAGTTCGAGAAAAACCACTCCTCCCCCCCCTAACACCACTAGCCGAACAGAGAAGGGTGGGGGTAGCCCGGCTCCACAACACCGACCTCCCCGACCAAGACGAACCTCAGCACCTAGAGCAACGCCCACCCAGAGCAACACCACCCCGCCCGCAACAACCACAACTCGTCGGCGACCAGGCTCGAAACAGGCAAGCCGAAGCCTACCTAAAGAGTCCCAGCAACCTTGATCGAAAACCCACACAGCCAATGGACAAAAAGTACCTCAAAAGGCGACCCAAGAAACTGAATTCGATCGTAGTGAAGGAGAGGTGAAACGATAGTTCCTCGCACTAACCATCGCGATGAAACATCGCAGCTACCAGGGGCCCCGACCCATCCACAGACCCACGTCGCTCCCGCCACCCCCACAGACCTCAGATTCGGCGACCAGCCCACAAACACTCACCTTAAAGGGTAAAGTAGGGAGTGGGAGGTCGCGACAAATCATCCACCGTCGGAAGCGCCGGAGACAAAAAGGCATCCGGGATGGGTCGAGCAATTTGATACGACCACAGGAGTCCGCTGCTGCTGAGGAAGGCTGAGAGATGGAGAATTAGAGCGACGCCGGAGTAGGGTTAGAGCGAAATTTGGGGGTTCTCCCGATGTCCCACACTTTCTTCGATTTAGATAGCTGAAAAAAAATCATTTAATTAAACAAAAATTGTCTTTATCTTGTAAAGTACTATTTTACCATTCAGTTTCAATTGAAATTATTAATTCCCAACTTCCTCCCAATTTCAGAAAATTGAACGAGGACGACGGCCTTTTCTGCTCTATTCTCTGTTCATACCTCACCATTGACGCCTAAATTGGACGACGCGCAACGACGACGGGAATATCTCATTGCGGTTTCCTTCCACAAATCGATCACCAATGACAACCACTTATGTCCGCTGGTTGTTTATCGTCGTTCGACAACAAGCTCAGAAGACAATTATTGGGCCGCCGTCGGCGATTTCAAAGCATTCATACCGGAACCAAGGACCAGCGACGGCGACGAGGTAAATTTGCCGAGTACTAAGAGTCAATAACCATGGATCCTTAGTTTATTAACTCTGCAAATATATTTTCACCAAATTAGGGTTTTCCTGTTATTTTTTATGTTTGGATGATATGTGGTGCTGGGAAAGAATTTGATGTTCAATTATTGGTTATCTGGAGTCCCATATTGTTCTATCGTGATTCATGTTTAACTTTAAAGATAGTAGGAAAGAGTGGGCTTTTGTATCTTCAATCTAGTTCTAGCCATATCTGCTCATTGTGCTTACAGTAATGTTTGTAAGACGTGATAAAATGACAAACTAGAACCAAGGTTTTATGCCTTTGACAGAATTATATTCCAACTTGATACGAAAAAAAAAACACAGATGAATATTTTGATGTTTCTTATGTATTGGTCAATTCATGTGTAAAAGATTCTTACTTGTACTGTGTGTTTTCTAATCAAACTGTTATATTTTTCTGATTGCTCTTGTTTGCTTCATTTCATGCGAACGACTGATTACTTTTCTTGAACTTCGATGTTGAAGCATTATTTTTTTTTTGGTCCAATATGTAAATGATTCTGTCATTCTCTCTTGTGTGATCACATCCTCAATTTAATGATTAATTCGCTAAAGATTGAACCTTTTATTCAATCTAAATGAAGTGGGACTTGAATATGCATTGAATGTTTTTGTACAACCTTAATTTCCAATCATGTGTTATGTGAAGAGTATGTCGAACGATTCTAACTCGTTCACAAAGACAACTTCTGGCGAAGCCTTTGCAAGTATCCACGTTCGTAAAGTATCATGTCTCCATGGTGATGAGCCCAATTTGATGACTTCTCAAACTGATATGAATCCTTGTAGGAGGTTCTACAGGTGCAAATAGCGAATGGTAAGTCTCATTCATGTCCATAAAATTTTGAAGGTTGCTATCATTAACTTCAATCATCATATCACCTAACCTACTGTCTGATGCATTTCAGGATAAAGATTGTGCATATTTTTGTTGGTTTGATCCTGAATTCCCACCATTCCAAAAAGTAAATTATTTGAAGTTGAAAGGTCAAGTTAACGTGTTGGAGGAACAATTGAAATGCAAATTGGTGTTGGAGAAATTATTGTCTGAAAGATTAGTTGGGGTCCTTGTAGTTGTTTTAGTTGTTTGTGTTGTTGGTTAGTTTAATTGTGAGTATTTTTATTTTAGCGTTGCTAGTCGGGATTCTAGACGGTCTTTTGACCTGTCCTCCCACTTTTTCAGCTGTTGGCTGCTGTGTATTCGCAAATTTGTGCATTTTGATTTATAATATTATCTATTATTTTGGAAAAAAAAAGAAGAAGCGTGATGTATATTTGTTGAAAATGGAAAATGATGAGCTTAAAATAAAGTTGCAACCATGAGTAAGGAAAAACAATTTCAGAAGTGGTTAATAATGTTGGTCATTGTTGATTTGTTGG